TGGTAATTGTATACGGCATTTAGAAAAATCTATCGTCGACTTTTCTATCCGCGGCGGAGTACCTATTAAAAGCAGACATTTTTTATTTTTAATTTATGAATAAAGTATAAGACAATTACCAGTTTTCAATCTTCCTATTCTAAATCCGATTCTTTCTAATGTATTGGCTAATCCGATGCTAGGTTCGTCACCGAGCCTGCCAGCAGGCCTCTTCTCTAAACCAATATTAATTTGTCCCTTTAAAAATGTACCCGTCGTTATGACGACCGCATCGCTGTATATTTTCGTTCCATCCTCTGCAATATAATTTTCATAAATGTAGTTTCTTCAAACATAATGATATGCATTTGATTCTAAATGACAATTACTAAGAATTATTCCATGGCATGTTGGAGAATCTCCTTGGATGATTAAATCTTCTACGGAAGATTCATATATTTGTAAACCGGGTGTATTGAACAATTCTTGTTGAAGATGTTTCTTGTATAAAACACGATCAATTTGAGCTCTGTAGCCCCATACGGCAGGTCCTTTGGATCTATTCAACATCGTATAATTAATGCCTGAGATATCACATATACGACAACAGACTCCATCCAAAGCATCTACTTCTCTCATGAGATTTCCCTTTCCAATTCCACCAAAAGATGGATTACACGACATTTCTCCTATAAAAATGAGATTGTTCATTTTACATTGTTTAGTATTAAAAGATGAATAGACTTTATACCTATTGTACTCTTTTTATGGGTGATAAGTAGCGTGTTTGCACCCATTCTAGCTGCAGCTGCACAAGCCTCTGTTCCAGCATGACCACCACCAATGACAACAACATCGAACTTGCACTCATGATTGTTCGATGAGAAATTTCTTATAAATTGTAAATATCTTTGTCTAAAATTTCTGCTTAATGCAGATAATTTCATATTTTTTAGATTCATTCTATTAGAGTATCCTAGGACAGAAAATGAAATATTTTATCAAAAGTCATTAAATTGTTTATTTTAATAATCGTGTATACATGACAGTTTCAATATACAAATACATGAAGATATATTAATGCTTATGATATAAAAAATTCATGAGCTTTTAACTTTATAAATAAGGAATTGTATCTCACTGCATCTCTAATTCTTGGTAGTATTAATTTATCGCACATAGTTTCTTTGTCTACAAAATCCATATCCATATATTTTAACTTATTCATAAACTCTATGACAAAATTATAACAATTCATTGAAAGTTCATTATAATTCTCAGACCTCCATTTAGAGTCTTTTAACATTGCTTTTAGTGTTTCATTCCAATGATTATCCCACGATGAAGGGATTATGCTTATTGCAATGCAACTCGTCCATCTAGAGCAATCATTAATGATTAGACCTTCTTTGTCATATTCAAAAACAATTCCTTGAGAATTTGATATTCCTATGTGCAAGTCATGGGCAATATCATAATTAGTTAAAAAATCTCCTCGAGATGGTCTTACAACTACAGCATTCGGTTCATGCATGGCATTAGCATATGGATATGGAATAACAAAAGGTTCTACTTCAAAATTCACAATAAGTAACTTGCAAAGAGGACATACATCTAGGATATTTTTACAAAATATACTTTTCGAACAGCAATGACGAAAACATAATATTCTGGTGTCAGAATCCATAATAAATGGGAATTGTAGGTTAGGATAGATATCCTTGAGGATAAGAATCAAAATACTTTCAAAAGTAACATCGCGTTGTTGATTTCGTATTTCGATTGATGCACGTGAACGCTATAAATGAAATACACTATGATAAATAAAGAAATCGTATGAATAATGAAACAAAAGTAACGATGAATTTTTAAAGAATTACCTGTACAAATTATGTATAATATTTGTATATAGTTTCACGCCAATTTCCTTATTTTATGATACGTTTTCATACTTTATCACGCGAAGTATTCAATTCTTCTCAACATAAATCTTACAGTAAATAATTGGACACCAAGTAAACGTTTACTGTACGATTTTGTGAAATGCATGCAGCTGTTGGCAAAAGCAGTTA